AATTAGTCACCGCTCTGTCATTTCTAATAATTTCTTTCCTTTTCTTTTTTGCGCATTGATCAAGTCATTTCATGAAACGACAGCCTGATTGAATTATGTATTATACATAAATATCATATAGAGTGAGTCTAACTAAACACATCAAAATGATAATAAAAGAATGATACTAAATAAATTTTTATTACGAACGAAATATATATGATAGTAGTGATGGTGCTTAAACTACCTTAAGAAAAAATAAAAAAAAATTTAAATACCGATTAGCAGGAAAATTTATCCTGAATGTTATATATTAATATTTCCTAGCAAATACTCTGTAGAAGACTCACAAAAGCTCATGATATGTACTTTTTCTTCAGATTAATTCTCTTCTTATTTCTTTCCTTACTATAAGAAAATTACGCAAATTAGGTCTTAGACGAATAATTCGCCTGTATACGTATATATGTTATTTTTTACATATAATATATAAAATAGTTTTAAACAATTTCATGCGAGAGTTCATTTTAGATATAATTAAATTTGCAAAATTCAAGGACGAAAAAAATATAATTATTGATCACATATTTAGATAAGATTATTTTTTATTAATCGAATCATGTACATATAATAGACTTGATTCGTGGGTTAAATTCTAGCTATAAGAAATTAATTTTACTTTAATCACTAAATATTTACTTTTCGTGACAAGAGAAAAAGCATTGAAAAATTATTAAAATATATTAAAATAATATTATATTTTGTTTTCTAATATATAATATTTTTTACATTATAATATTTGTTTGCTGTCTCTAATCAGTGGTTTTGTTATCAAAGTAAGTATTTACTTTTACATGAATATTTCCTTACAATTATTTGTGTAATGTTTATCGACCACGTGATCGAACGATTTATATTTTAATTTTTGCGCAAAAATTCAAAGCGTATCAGTTTATAACAGATAAAAAAAAATATCCGCATACTCTTTAAAACTTAAAATTGCGGCGCAATTCATTTATGATTTCATATTGAGAAATAATTCGTATAATAACTGTGAATTGATTTACACACGATCTTGTTTGATGTCTCGATTAGCTTGAAGTTTACGATGATTTCTTGTTTACATAAAATGTCGACGAAGAGTTGCAACGTAAACAGAGATGACAGTTTAAAAGGAAAAGTTTCATACAACGCATCAAAGCTTTCGTCCTTGTAATTTATCGCATGAATATTAAGATTTATACACGATTGTGTACATATAGTACTTCCTCACTTCCTTAAAAGGTCTATATAGTTTATATTATTCGGGATCTGATTCTTCAATTTTTGTCAGTCATTAATTATTAATGATTGAATTTTTATTTTATCTTTTTTCATAAAACAATATTATTTAAATGAATAAACGATAGATTTTTCCTATGCATCGTCAGTAAAATAAAACCAATTTGTAATCGCAAAATGGCGTTACATAAATAATGAAGTAAATCATGAGAAATAATTCGTTAAAATGTATCACTACTATTTAACATTCTTTAATTTAATAAATGCAGTATTGTATTGTATCCCGAAGGCAGATCTTCGTGGTTTTTCGGTATACGTGTTAATTACAGAGACATCAATTTTATTCTATCGTAATAAAATAATAAAAACCGATTCGGCAAAAGTGCAAACAAAAAAAAAAGAATATTCGAGACATTCGATCGTGGCAAAGAAGCCCAAAATCGTATCGTCGTTTGCATTAAAAGGGACATGTAATCAAAAGGAAAAGATAAAAAAATAAATGAAAAATAGGAAAAATCCTGCCATACCGTGTCTTCCACGAGAGAGACTATGAACATTTATCTTAAAGTAGTTTACGTATATCTATAAGTTAAATTATTCATTATACCATTTAAAATACGTATAAGAGATGTACTGATGATTAAAATTCACATGTACGGGGTGTACTGTGTGTGTCGTTTCGCGTGTGTCAACATTTCATTTGGTACAATGAACCATGCGTACGTGTAACTTATTTTACATTCTGTAATACGTACTTTTAGCGACTAAGGTAATCGGAGAAATACAGGCGAAGAAATTATGAAGGGACATTTACTAATCTCTCTTGTACATTTGTCCTTCTCGTGTATTTACCTTTATATGTATCGGCACTCTCTTCGAGTAAAAAATGAAAAAAAAATAACATTTCTCTCTGTATATCTCGTAGGAACATTTTTGCGATGCGCGAAGTGCTCGCTTCAACGCGAGTCTTGAATTAGGATAAAAGTTACGATTGCTTTGCAAACAAATCCGCAGGATTTCTTGCGGTCGAAACGTTGTAAACACAAATGTACATACTTACACTGCACTAATTTAGTATTGCCGCTAAGTATTACAACTAGTCACATAAGCCAAAAGTTTGTTACTCTCGCAGAAGTTTTCTTTTTTTCAGTTTTGTAAAATAAAGGAAGATGAGAAAAAATCCGAAGAATGCATTTTCTTTTTATTTTCTCACCTTCTACTTTCTTTGCAAAAGTGCAAATTATAAATCGTTCATGTAGAACATTGATATTATCAATATATAGTCAATACTTTTCGAAAACTGAAGAAATGATATTTTTAATTTTTTGTCATCATCGTGCATATATATATATATTTATATTTATATTTCATGGATTAATGTGCTTGTCCTTTAATAATTCTGTCATCTCATTATTAATTTTAAATATTTTTGCGCAAAATATTAATATTTGAAAATTTAAATCTTATATGAAACTATAAGAAAGAGAATAATTAATGTACATAATTTTTAAAAAAGAGATTAAATTATGTAACAATATTTCTTAATAATTCTACCAATTCCTTTCTATTGTATTAAAAATTTGTAATGCGTAAAATCTAGATTTATAATTTTTTCTATTTTTTCCAGTAAATTTGAAATATTCGCAACATCCTGCGATACGTTTTTTAGAGCATAGTAATTAATCATCAGACCATGAGATCACGAGTAGCGGAAGTGAATAACACTGTAGATATGATTCTTTTACGTAAGCGCGATACAAGCGAAGCATGTTCGTATGCTCTGCGCCTTCGTTTCCGTTTTCATTTTTGAATCGCATGTTGCCATCAGAGAGACGTAACAGTCGCTGATAAAATAGTCGGGATTATTCTTTCTACATGTATATGTACAATGCACGTGTGAAAATATTTCGAAGGTTGTCTATGTTTCTCTCCAACTTCATCGAAGCTAGTCAACAGGTACGTGATAAAAATATTTTTCTTATGATGTTTCCACGTGATTAATTATAAATACTCTCTTGATTTCCTCTCTCTCTCGATATTTAAACAACAGTTTATCGTGAATTAAGCGTTTAAATAGTAAATATACTTTTGTGCGTAATTCACGAGTACAGACTCCGCAAATATTCCTCTATTTTCATTAGCGTTAAACTTACGTGTCAAGATCTATTTAACACTTCTTACTTAATGATTCTTGCATACCGGCGATTTACTCGAGGAAAAAACTCGTAATTTTTACGCATAAACGCGAACCGTTATTATGTGAATCATTAACACCAAATAACAATTATTACTATTTATGCTTTATGCGAATAATCATATTGTGCATTTTTATTCGGAATACAATAGATCATTTTAAAAATAAAAATTACATAATTCTCGTTTTATTATATCTAATTTTTTTGAGAAAAGAGAGATATACATAGAGATTATATATGTATGTCTCTTATTTAAAAAGAAATTTATTTATAATATAATTTTTTTAATTATGATTTTAATATTCTTCCAAAAAAAAAGGAATAAAAGAGAATTAATAATTTTCCTCTCTCTGTTGAAAGAAACTTATTTAATAAAAATATATTTGTAAAAATTTAATTAAGTACAATTAAATAAATTTATTGTATAATTAATATTTAAAATTATAATAGTTTTATTATATAATTTTAATTTGAACAGACTGCGTAGATTAATTTTGAAGTCGCAAATGATCTTACTTTCGTAGCATGACTCAGTTGTTTTCGAACGTTAATAATACAAAGTATGTATGGGTAATATGCGAACGTCGAACGTTGTAGAAAGTGGAACGACATAAGATTGCAGCTCGCGCAGCTCTATGTCGCAAGCACGTATCAACAGCAAGTTCGATGTCTGTTTCTCTTGCCTCTTTCTTTCTTGTTCGTTTCTTTTCATTTTATTTTTTTTTTCTTTCTTTCCCTTCATTTTTTCCTTTTTCTTCCTTCTTCTTTTTACGTTTCGCACTCCTAAAATTTCTTCTTTTGATATCGACAGTCGTCCTCACAAAGCGGCCTTTAATTATACCATCACCGCGCTACAATATTCGCCACCCCTAATATATTGCGCTACTTCTGAGATATATTTTTGTCGAGGAAAAAAACATTCGTGCGAACCAAGCCACGTGCACATTGACTTCGACAGATTTTTTTTGCTAAAACTCGCGTGATACCGAATCGTCCGCATAACTTCACGCATCTGCGTGTTGTTTTGATGGCAAGTGAACGAAAATGATCTAAACGTTCGATCCTCGGAGTCAGCTACACCGATCTCGCGGTCACTCTTTGTAATAAATTTTCGGTAAGAAATCTCCCGTTCTTCAACGTGTGATCTAAAGTTGTTGGATCAGCATCGGAGAAATATCGCCGAGTCGCGTTATGTATGTAATTTCCTTCCTTCCCCCCCCCCTCCCACGCGATTCAACGATCTCGATCGAGTGTCGAGTGTTACATTCTACGTAAGCAGATTTTCATGATTACGAAATAATTGAAAGTTTCTTCGAATTTCTTCTATCATTTTTTTCCGCGCGCGGTATTTTTACAAAAGAAAATCTTTAAATATTTCATTAACTATTTTTTATTTAATCTATTTATTAAATCTATTTATTATTTAATCTATTTATTAAATTTATTTATTATTGATTTAATCTATTTTTAAATTTATTTTTTTATTTTTATTAATCGAAAATTACTGTATATTAAATAAAACGAGGATCGAAGAGAAAATATTCGTTTTTTCCTTAAAAGCAACGATATACAAGCAAAGAATACAGATTACAGAACTTTGTGACGAATGCAAAAAATAAATAATTATTGCTACTAACATTAGAATATAGGACAGGAAAAAATAAACAGTTAACATTGATGATTTATGCGGATGTTTTTACTTAGAGTAGCTATCTCTCGAATCTGTCGTCATCGCGTTCACGACATCACACGTTCTTGAACTTGCACAACTTGACTTGATCACAACGACGATCAGTCACGATTTATCAACGGAGAGAGGTACGAGTGCGCCGAACCGAGGGAAGAATCGAAGACCATTCAGTCGATTATCGTATCGTAACATTATAACGCACAAATGTGTGTGTGTGTGTTAGATATTTTTATTTAAAATATGATTATTATAAATGATTATTGTATAAGTGTTAATATTATTGTATTATTACAAGATACTTCAAACTTCGCAGCTTGGAATAATTTTTGTAATTTTAGTTATGCAAATATTGTTAAATTCTTACATATCATATGATAATAATAGAACGTGAAGAAAATATTATACTAAAATAAGTATAAATTCTCCGACGCGATAAATATTTATAAAAATATTAACAATAAAATTTATATATTAAATAATTGAACTTTTAAATAATACATTATAAAATATGTTAAATGTTATTCATATGAAAAATATTTTGAAATATTATATTCATCACAAAAAGCAGGGAGTCTTCGATTGAAAAATTATTATGATTTAGAGATTTTGTGAGAGTTATGAGCAATTGTTTTCGTTACTTATTAAATCAAATAATTTAATGTATTATTGATTGACATTATCAATATTAATGATATTATTGATATCGATATTTTTCAAAATGGAAATATGTTGTATGTGCGAGATTGTTAACTTTCAAAATGCGGTATTTTTAAATTCAAGAATTATATGTGTGTGTGTACGCAGAAACAAGAAATTGGAGCAAAGTCTAAGGCCGACGTCTTTTTTCTAGTGGTATATTATAGTAAACAGTCTTCGTGGAAGAGAGAATTGAAACGATTGTGGAGGCACAAAGAGGAATGTCGACGTCCCGACGAAGAGGCGGATAGATTTTACTTACTAACGAGGTTTCCTGCATAACTCGTCAACGAAAATGAGGCCATTCGCAATCGTTCTCGCCCTTTTCCCTTGGTTAATGATCGTCGATTGCGTTTCGATCGGAAGATTCTGCGATCCAGAAACTGGGGATGGTGAGTTATAAAATCACGGTATCACCGATATTATAATGTATAATGATTATTAACAATCGCTTCGATCGATGGAATATTGAATCATTGCATCTTTGTATTGCTTTCGGCATCATATCCTTCGATTGATTCGAGAAAAGGAATTCAGGAAAACCTTCTCTTTGCGATTTCTTTGCAGAGATTTACGTAATTATGCATACGTACACATGTACTTAATTTCGCAATAATTCGTTTAAATCGTCGTCGAGGATTATCAACGTAAAACAGGTCTTTCGACTGAACATTCCGTACACTTGCTTTTCTTTTTAGATTTCCAACGCGCACACGTCGGCCTGATTATCTCGCCCATAATGTCCATTAAAATGATACGAGAGATCGAGATTTATTGGAACCACGTCAAGTATCGACCGGGCGATACGATAGCTCTTTACACGAGCGAACCCACGAGCGACCTCGAGCCAATTTATACCCTGATACCAAACGCGCCGAGTGGTATCGAGAGGACCGGAGTACAGGCCACGTTTGTCCCCACCTCGAGTCTCATGTTTGTTCAACAATGTCTACGTACGTACGCGATTACATAATTTTACGACATAGATTACTAATCGGGTTATGCATGGAGATTGCGCTAATCTTTTCCACACAATCTAGCGATGTAATTACAAACATTTTTTATACATTCATGTATGTTATTAAGCGTAGATAATACTCTTTCTCTCTCTCTCTCTCTATCTTTCTTTCTCTATCGTTTTTTTTCTATTTTTTAAATTCTTGTCTCGTTATCTTTCGCGACATTTTCTTAATAGGATATCTAGCTATATATTTTTGAACCTTGAGCTTTTTTATATTAGAGTACTATGTCGCCTGGTTAAGAAACGGCACAATAAGATTGACAAACTGTCTGCAAACGCATCCTCAGTGGATGGCAGAGAGGAGGAACAGCCTAGGATTATTATCGATGAGCAGGATATTCCTACCAGGTACACATGATTCTGCATCGTACGCGATACACGAGCAGGCGAACTCTGAGAACATCGTCGAGAAATTCGTAATAACACAGGTAATTGCTTGAAGAATCGGATACTTTTTTTAGGTAAAACAAAAAGATCTCGTTACACTATATCGAAAGTCGTTAAAACACAAGATATTTCTATGGCATTAATTTTTCATAAATTCTTTTATTGATTTGGAGATTCTTTTATTGAAAGGAGATGTCCTTTCAGTTTAAATATAAAAATATTTGTAGTGATTCGATTGATAAAATTTTGTCAGAAAGAAGCAAGGACTGTGCATAATTTAAAAATTATTAATTATAAACAATATGCAATAGTTAAAGTATTTTAAAAATGATTTAAATTATTTCAATATAAACAATATATTAAAAGATTAAGTTTTTTTTATCGGAACTGTTTCTCTAGAGATGAATTTATTGTCATTCAAATAATTAGCAAACAGTTCTGAATGTTGCTTACAGTAAGGATCCTGTTTCCTTGTCGCAGGCATATCGAATTATGAAATGTCAGAAATGAGAAATTATGCAAATCTTTTTCTTTTGTATGATAGAACGAAATAAATTAGTTATTTCACATATCACTTTGATAATGAGGATTGTTATATGTCTTAAAACTTCGCTTATTATTTAATCAAAAATTGATTTAGAATCTCAAATATGTAATACGCGAGATTAGAAAAACTAATATATTTTGATGTATAAAACTAAAAAAAAATCTTTACATAATTTCTCGCTGTTATAATTCAATATGGCCGACAAACTTGCAATCAGATAAAATCTAGGAACATTGAAATCAGATAAAAATTAAATATAGAATAACCGTTGCTGGTAATCGTTAGGATAATTAAACTGCAGGATGTGGACGTGCTCGCGCAATTGATCTATGGGGTTCGATATCTGGACATCAGGGTCGGACACTATCCTAACACGAATTCGATATGGTGGGCCAATCATGGGGTATTTAAATCTGTTCCTATGCAAAATGTCGTGAACCAAGTGAAGACCTTTCTTGATAATACAAACGAGATCGTGATATTCGACATCCAGGAATTTCCCGTTGGTAATTTTCCTTAAATCGCTCGTAACATTTGATCAGACCAAAATAATATTCGTATATATATATATATATATATATATATATATATATATATATATATATATTAATCATTTATAGATATAAAAACTATATTTTTATTATATAATTATTATTATATATTCATATATATAGTGTAGATATATTATAAAATTATAAAATGCACAATATTTATTTTGTATTATTTCTCTCTCTTATATAATAATTTATTATTATTTCCAATAATAATAATAATAATAATAAACTACAATTTAATAATAAGATATATTAATTCTTTTTTTCTCTCTTTATCGCAATAATATAAGATCTTTTTATTCCTCTATCTTGTAATATAATTTATTCTTTCCAATAATAATAAACTATAATTTAATAATAAGATATATTAATTCTCTTTCTCTCTCTTTATCGTAATAATATAGATTTTTTCATTTAATTTTTTGGTACTAGGTTTTGGGAAAAATCTGGGAGTGCATCACAATTTCGTTGGATTTCTCGAGGAACAATTTGCCGGATACTACTTGCCGAAGAGTTACGGGTGGACCAGCACGCTGAATACAATCTGGTCATCTGGGAAAAGACTCATAATCGGTTACGACGAAAAACGAGTGGTCAATCGTTACGAGAGCATATGGCCCTGCGTGACACATCAATGGGGAAACGTCAGAAACATCGAAGATTTGTTTAACTATCTGAATCGTATCGAAACGGAAAGTCTCGGGTGTGTAAAATTCATATAAAGCTGATGCTGACAGACATTGCAAATTTATAGCGCTATAAATTATACTTGATATTATTTTTTATTATGTCTATATCGTTCAATGAATATTTTTGTTCCAATTGGGCTTATCTGATTTCAGGTATCCTAGAGCGATACCGAGATCAGCGATGGCAGAATTAACACCTAATACATGGGACGTAATCTTAAATAGACTTGGAAGCATTCGTGAGATGGCGGAGAAAGTTAATATCAATGTCACAAATTGGTATAATAGCAAGTGGCAACATACAGCCAATATCGTCGCTGTCGACTTCGTCCGATCGTCCGGCATCATCGAAACTGCAATCGAATGGAACGAAAAACGAAATTCGCATTGTTAAGATTTTGCGTAAAAGTTAAAAAAAATTGCACAAACCAAAGTTTGTTAATGCACTCAAATAATAATTCATATCATGCCAAGCAACGCGCGAAATTTTATGCCAGTACTTAATAACTTATTATTTCGATTCCATAGTCTATTTTTGTGGAGTTATAGTGTATGAATATACAATAAATTTTATATATAAAGGAGATGAATCACGCAATTATACAGACAATGTCTATAATTGAAGGAGAATAAATATCTCGTAAAATATTTCTAACTTCTAAAATAATTCTAACTCTTTTTTTCAATTTAAGCTAATCAACGATAACTCGTAAAAATATAAAAGGTTTATATCAACCCTCTCTTCTTAAGAAATCTAGATCACGCAATTATACAGACAATGTCTATAATTGAAGGAAAATAAGTATCTTGTAAAATACTTCTAACTTCTAAAATAATTCTCTCTTTTTTTCAATTTAAGCTAATTAACGATAACTCGTAAAAATATAAAAGGTTTATATCAACCCTCTCTTCTTAAGAAATCTAGATCACGCAATTATACAGACAATGTCTATAATTGAAGGAAAATAAATATCTTGTAAAATACTTCTAACTTCTAAAATAATTCTCTTTTTTTCAATTTAAGCTAATTAACGCTAACTCGTATAAAAGGTTTATATCAACCCTCTCATCTTCTTAAGAAATCTAGATAAAGCATAATGACAACTCGCGCATGAATCGCGTATAATACACTTTTTACCTGCTAATCGCAGTTCCGCCGGATGTGCGAATAATGCTCTAGTCAAGGTAACCGAGAGAAACAAATCTGTTGCGCACAAAAGCGCACGATGCAACGAAATCAGTTCATCATCCGGTATAGATGATGTTAGTCGCGGATGCGAAAAATACATTTGCATCAGTGTCTTGCGTTATCAGTCGCGTACGGAAAGAACAACGAATTTAGAGCAGGAAATTTTTCCTCTGGAAGTAAACGATAATTTTTTACAGATCAACGCTGTCATTCTTTCTATGAGAAAATTTTTTTTGTTAGAGTAGAGTTTCTTAAAATTGATTACGACTGATTATACGAATATTGTATGAAAGTAGAGAGATTTTTTTAAAAGTGATCATCTATTTATATTCATATTTAGAAAAATGTGCCGCTTATTGCTGCTGCTTTTACTGCCAATAGTAACTTCGAAACCGTGCGAGCATTCGGATTATCGATATTATACGTGCCAAAATAATTCTCTCTCTTGCCCTGGCGATCAGAAATGCACATTCATCGATTACTGCCCGGCGGTTGTATCTTTAATGGAACGAAACGAGCTTTCCGCCCACAGGTAATATCATATCATATTTTTTGCATTATAAAATATATACGCGTACATGCATACATACGCAGATTTTTCGACTACAGATTACGGCAGGCTGTTTGCGGATATGATCGAACGCGCATGAAAATTTGCTGCAGCGTAGACAATTATTCCGAACGGCCGATATATACGAATCAGGATGCGTATCTGACACAATCGTCTTCGAAATCTCAATGCGGAAAGAGTCTTATTCAAAATAACATAGATAATTTAGGATCGTATCCTTTCGTCGCGAGGATCGGTTTTACAAGCAAGTATTTGTGCTTGTATTATATGTGTCCCAGAACCCGCTCATTTTTTTCTCTTAATATTGAGAATTTAAGTATTTGTTGTATTATATAACGTCATTGAAAATTTTTCATTGAGTGCGTTAAAACTTGAATTCCTTAAGTTTCTCAATGAAGTTGTCTCAATGCGGCTTCAGTAACACTATGTATACGACAAACTATACTCAAGTTTATCTATTTGAAGGAGAGATTAATTAGCTATATTTCTTTTATTATACAAGACATGCGCTTTCAGATTGTTAGCAAGAATTCGTTTTTCAGATACATTAACGAGTGAGATCAAATACTCGTGCAGTGGCGTGATTGTTAATGAGCGTACAGTATTAACTACAGCTACATGCGCACTCGCGAAATCGGACAAATACAAATTGTATGTATATAGCAGTCCAAAATATAACGAATAATCTTTACTAATATTTTCGATTGTATAATTAAGCCTGGAATCGAGCATGCAATAATTTATAACGGTTTTTATTCGTATTTAGATGCTCTGTGCTTATTGGTGAATATAATACAGAGTCGGATCCAGATTGCAATAAATTGTTTTGCGGACACAATACCAGTAGCCATGATATATCGTATGTAATAAAACATCCGGGCTACGACGCCGCAAGTTTTTCCAATAACGTTGCCTTACTTCGCCTGAAGAAGGCTATCAATTTTACAGGTATGTACAATTCAATGTATACATATGTAAGAACGTTTTGGTGATCGGTCTTAATGAAATGCACATCCGGTCTTCTTCAGCCACAGCGCAACCAATCTGCTTTATACCGGAAGATAGATACGTCAGCTTGGAAAGTACATGCACCGTTGTTGGCTGGGGAAAATTATCCGGTCAAAAAGGTATTATATATTAATTAAACAAACTATCGTAAAGCAGTAAACTGTAAGCAGTGTTTATGTGTGATGTTCAAATGCGATAACCCTGTGATCCAGCACAACCACCGACGCAACAATCATTACAACTAAAACTCGTACCTAAGCAGCAATGCTCAGATTATTCAAGCCAAGGTCTGTCTGTTGAGTTGTGCGCCAAAGGAGACTGTGAACCTTGTTCAGGTTACAGTGGAAGTCCCCTATTATATAAATATGCGAACACATACTTCCTGGTATATTACACTAACATTATATATATATATATATATATATATATATATATATATAATGTTTCTATATATATATATGTATATACTATAAGTCATATTTCTCATGTTTATATGTATATTTTTTTATCAGGTCGGAATCCTATCATATGGGTCTAGTTGCGACTCAAGCACCATTTTTCCATCTGCGTTCATAAATGTACAGAGATACACACGATGGATTTTAGAGAATTCCTAAGATTGCAAATGCAATCGTCTCAAAATGGTACTTAAGAACACCGATTGGTATTGCATTTTCACGAGTTTTATTTTTTTAACTATGAAATATTATTTATGTTTAAATATATTCAAATATTTGCCACGCGTCATTTCCTTAGCTTCTTCTAGACCCAGCTGATAAGCTAAATCGTGCAGTTTTTTCACTTCCGAGATAAGCCCGGTCATTGTTAAATTACCCAATTCTGCAAGAAAATTTTTTACGATATTTAGCAACACAAGATGAAGAATTATATGTTAACGCATATTAACTCACGATGCAATTGACTTATGTCGTCCGCTGAAAAACTCGCAGTCCAAAAACATGGCTCTGTCTGCGGTGAATTTTGAGCGACAAACTCATGCACACCTGGAACTTCATTGCTCGCTACATATATGATGTATATTATGTATATATATCTCAAAAAGAGATCTTCCAAAAAAGAGATACTCACTTTGTTCAGGCCATAAATCGGGAGACGCTCTATCCAGTTTCTCTAGACTCATTAGGCTCTCCTCTACGCAAGATAAATCTATAAAACAGGAATTCATCACTTTACTCGTATAGTTGAACTTGTACTTGAAATGTGTTCATTATAATGCAAAATATTATTTTATTCTTGGAATTTAGTTTTAAATTTAATTCAATAACAAAGATCAATTTATATAATACTTTGTGCACAATTTATAGAATTTGAACATTTTTTAAATACATAATTACACTCTCTTTCCTAAATTATTAAACGAAACAAGCGATACATTGGTAGAAAATAAAATCTAACCTTTTAATATTTTGCATCTTTAAATTTACAATAATATTTCAAAAGGATATCGTTATCTTCGATTTTATTTTTTGTTTCTCTCTTTCACAAAAGAACTATTTAACGACATGATGACAAATAGGAAAGATAAATAAAAGAGAAAAAAATAATACAAAATAGTTTAAGAAATTACATGAAGAGAGAGCATTACATAACATATCTGGTATATATATTTGGTATATATAAATAACCTCACTATATACACCAGCCTAACCAGTGTACTCTGACAAACTTATCTCTGCACTTTTGTTCTCCAAAGCTCCAAACTTACCTGGTTGATCCACAGATTCTTCAGCGGCCATAATGTTCGTCGAATTGGAAGGAAATTGAAATTTATGAAAATGTTTTTTTCAATGAGAAAAATCGACGGAAGGAAAACGGAGTGGGATACTTGACGGGACAGGATACTTGAAACACACGCACTCTTTTCAATCCTCTAGAAAAAGTCTGGAGCAACAGAATACAGCTTCGCGTTACGTATTCGTCTCTTGAACCGTCGTCATCCCTTTGCGCAATTCCTTGGTCAATTCAGCCTGTTGCTGTAAAATGTAGACATTTTGCACTTTTCGACGCTCTCGTCGCTCGATGTCGCGCATTACCCCCAAATGAAGTTGCTCCCTATAACGTAAAGCAGCCCGTCATTTAATTGCCTCGAGTAATAATTATTCAAATAGAAATAACGCGCGTACTCACTTACCTGTCGTATGCCTGTTTGTAATGAACGTAGCCTATTATTCCAACGGACACCGAGCAGCATAAACCGAAAGTGACTTTAGACGCTGTTGACATTCTCGGACATTCTCGAAGAATGGTACACGTCGTCAAGTTGTCGCACATGGTCGCGCGAGGCACGATGGGATTAGTGTTGTTTTCGGAGACGCTCCTCTGCGCATGAGCATTGAACATTGGGGTTTGTTCTTTTTAGCTGCACTGCTAGACTAGTGCAATAAGTTCAAAAGAGACAAACATACTTTCTTTCACTCTAACTAATTGCACTAGTGCAGCAGATAAAAAGAACAGGCCCATGGTCTCATCGAGGTACCAGAGAAGAGTGCTCTCAGAGAGAAGACTTGGGCCTGTTCTACAATGAGTCGTAAGTCATAGGCAAATTGACCAATCATGGTTGATTATTTCAAAAATAATCAACCATGATTGGTCACATTGTAGAATGGTCCAGTCTTCTCTCTGATTTTAACCCACGCTGAAATTGCCAGAGTGCGCTACTGTATATTAACACTGTGATTTGGGAGTGTCAAATCTAAATACATATTTGTTTGTGACGTAAAACGTATTAACAGACATTATTACGCGATTATATTGTAATTACTATTTTGTAATTACTACAAGATTGCTGCAACAATCTACAAATTTTTCATATTGAGAAAGCTAAATGCTGAAATGTACACCTATAAATTGGCAGAAAGAGTCGAATTAGTGTGAGGTAAAAGTCGCAAACTGCGTTATTTAATGTTTTCGAAGGTTAGTCCTTTGTGATCTAATAAGTTTTAAAAAAAGCTATATTTTTTTTACTTTCTTCAGGCTATCTTATTCTTTCTTTGCGGTATGATTTGTACTGATAACACATGAAATATAGAAAATAAGCATATATTAGAAATATTTTCTGATAACTTCACTTTTACTTGAAGAAAATAAATACTGAGGTACCTCTGCAAAACCTTATGTATATGTATGTAAATAAGCGAAGCATTTAATCTGTAACCTTGAAAACTTTCAAGTACAATCAGTACAAATATGTAGATTATTTAATCTATACTTTGAAAATTTTTTTATGTCTACAATATTTTATATCAATATTTTATATCAATGCAATTATGGATTAGGTTTGATATCGCGTAGTAAGGTTTGTAATTATTTTAAATAACTTGCAATTCAAGGTATTTTTTGAGAAAGATTAGAGAGAGATCATATATATATATATATATGTGTCCAAGTCGAGAAATTAATATATTAAATACTATATGATCGTTTAATATGGTTTGAATATTTTTATATAATTAATAATAATATTATGTAATATTAAATATTTATATAATTAATAATAATATTATGTAATGTTTGTATGTATCTAAAAATATATATTTTTAGATACATACATTCTTAAAAATATATATATATTATTAAGATATTGATTTATAATCATATACAAGATTTTATTTTTACAGTGCAATATTTATAAATTAATATAATATACTATTAATCATTACTACTATATTTTAATATATAATAGTAATAAAAACAGTATTTTTAATTTTTTATTAAATAGTTTCTCATTCTCTATAAAACACATGAAAAATAGAATTTCTCTAAGAATTAATTCAAAAATCTGTTTAGCCTGGTTTAAATATGATGATTCTGACTAATGATCTTAATGATAAGATATGTTATTTATTTTATTTTCAGGATCAAAGTAAAAATGATATTGTTCTCAGCAAAAAGCTATCATATCTATTACGTCATGGCGCTATAAAGGAAGGCTTAAATATTAAACCAAATGGCTTTGTTGTAGTTGATGAGTTATTGAACAAATTGCCCCATTATACCATTGATGATATCAAGAGAGTAGTAGAAAATAATAATAAACAGAGATTTACTCTCAATATTGCTAATGGTGTTATAGAAATCAAAGCAAATCAGGGTCATTCCATATCTAAAATTAATGAATTAAATCTGAGAATACTCGACGATGCAAAATTTGATATAATTCATGGGACTTATTTTAAATATTGGACGACGATAAAAAATGAAGGTTTATCGCGTATGAAAAGAAATCATATTCATTTTGCCAAGGGATTAAATTTTATTAACGGCTTGCGCCAAAGTGCAGAACTTTTTATTTATATCAATTTTGAGAAGGCGAAGAAAGATTTAATATTTCTTGAATCTGAAAATGGTGTTATTCTCTGCACTGGAAATTTAAAAGGTTTTGTGGAAACAAAATATTTCCTGAGAGTAATTACTAAATATGGTCAAGCATTGAGCTTTGATTAAAAATATAAATCTTTTTGAACTTTTTATTTTTACATATTATTTTTACTATTAAATAACTGAAATATCAGCAAAAAATATTTTGCAAGAGTAAAAAAGAGGGAGATAAATTAGCAATTATTTAAACAACTGCATATATTGTGCATTTAATAATGACTTCTAAACCATCTGCTGAACCTGTTAACTATGCAAATAATCAAGTTGCTACAAGTTCAAATCGTCTTGAAGTGAAATCGCACGAGAATAAGTTTCGAGAAGAAGATCAGTATTATTTACCAGGAAGATCACTTTGTATTGCTCCTTTACCAAAAACTATATCGCGAGAGGATTTAGCGAAATTCCTTCGCCAGTTTGGTGCAGTTAAAAGGGATCGTTTTGGACGGAATTCTCTATGGATTGAATATTATGATAGGTAATATTTATAATGAAGAACTAAAAGAAATAAAATTATAATTGTAGTTAGTTATAATTAATTTTCTAGCATATGCACAATGATTTACATTACAGTTTTAAATATATTAAGAATTTTATTAGAGTGTTATTTCTTTTTTCCTTAAAATTTGGTAAAAATGATATGCTGTAATGTATCAGGTTACATTATGATTTATACAATCCAAATTTAGAAAAAAAATAAAATTCTGTTAATATTTAAAAGTATTTAGATACAAATCTTTAAGTCATTGTCTTATATTATAAAATATTTTATTTATATTGCTTTGTAATTTGCAGTGCACCTGTTAATCTTTTAATGAGCAAGTCAAATTGGTTTCCAAATGAAAAATTATGTCTGAGAAGAATTAAGAAAAATAGAGAAAATGCTGGATTTAACAGAGGTACTTAGCTCTATAATTATATACTACTCTATAATTATATACTACAAATTTTTTTTTAAATAAATATATTTACTATTCCTATTTCTCTCATGTAATACAAGTTTGTTTATTGTTTCATTAGAAAAAAAAGCTAATAATATACAAAATAAAACTGAGGAAGAAGAAGATCCAATAGGTTATGATCGTATAAAAGGTTTTATTGAAACTGAAATAACATTTGATGGCCAATTAACAGCGCTTTTGAATACAATACAGCTTACTGAATTTGAATTAAAAACACGATACGATGTCATTTGCACTCACTTGAATGAGATATTTAGACCAATCTTTCCAGAGTGTCAAACATATAAATTTGGTTCGACAGTAGCTGGTTTGAGTTTTAAAGAGAGTGATTTGGATATTTATATGTACGTTGGTGAAATTGGTAAGAGATATTATTTTACTATTGTATCGCAATATCGTTATACATATTTAAATAACATTTCTATTTTGTTGAAGGTTTACCACCGGCTTGTCATAAACCAGATATTCCACCATATATGCTAACACTAACAATATTCAAAAGAGTAAGGAGAATTATGTATAGCATGAAGTCTGTTTTTTCCAATATAATATCGATCCCTAAAGCAAAAACGCCTATTATAAAATTTCGTTACATACCGACTAATGTCTCTTGCGATATCTCTTTCAAGAATAGTCTAGGTATTTATAAAAGTAATTTCCTACATTATTGTGCATCGCATGATCCTCGATTACGACCACTAATGCTGCTCATCAAGTATTGGGCGAGGCATTTTGGAGTTTCCGGTATTGGAAGAATTTCTAGTTATGGATTAATATGTCTGATTATCTTTTATCTTCAACAAGAATCAGTCGGTCTTCTTCCATCTTTACTAGATCTTCAAAAAACATGTGTTCCGCACATTATGTACGGATGGCAAGTAAATTTTAATGAGAATACCGTATTACCGCCTATCAGCAACAGCAGTAGTATTGCAGAATTATTTCACAATTTCTTCTCTTTTTATGCCACGTTTCACTTTAATTCATGTGTGATATGTTTGTTGGACGGAAAAACATATTTAGCAGCTGACTTTACGCAAATAGACAAGTTACCTGATTATATGGACAGATACAAAACTTGCATCATGGAGAATAGTGCCAAGAAATTAGATGTTCACAAACCATTATGCCTTCAAGATCCAATTGAACTTAATCAGAATACAGCAGCAATTACATCGGACCGTGCATTAATAGCGTTCCAACATTATTGCGTATTTAGCGCCGAAATTTGTGCAGCCGCTAAAGTAAATAATTACGAAAATTTATTGAAAATATTATTTAGTACAGTACCTCCTCAATTAATATCGACGAAAAAAAGAAAAAAGAAATTTAAAAGTACGATACGGGCTGGTCGTTTCCTTCATGCTGGATTACCAAGTGACTTTGAAACACGTACAGATATTTCTAACAAAGAACAGTATAAAAAAGATAATTGGTATTTCATGATTTTTAATTTAATAAGAGATATCTTCGAAATGATCTTTAAATTACAAGTCGAGGTACTCCTTGATCAAGAAGCGAAACAACAAAAAGTTGAAGTATTATCCGATGTACATACTAGGAGTCATCAGAAAATAACGTTTCATTGCACAGGCAATAAATGTGTATGGTATAACAGAAAGAAAAATAATAGAACTCTATTGGACGTTCAATTAAGTCTATTGGAGAAAGAAGCTATTATGTCAGACAAGGTAATGGAACAATTGGACGATGAGACGAATAACATCAAGCTAGATTTTATATGTACATTAGAAAAGGCGGATAATCCTGTAGCAGTAATTATAATCTTAAACGATGAGGATAGTCAGAATCACATCTTTCGACAATTTGAATGCTTTGTAAACAGTTGGATACCAAAAATAATAGAGAAAACATTGTTACATATGTTACAATTTAAAAAGACTTACAGCCAATTACTGTACTACAAGAAACCGTGATGGTCCTGTGCATATGTATGTGTATATATCACATACACATTTTAGCATGTATGGACCAAAGATTAACAATATTTTATATAATTTCATCAATGTAATTTAATTTGTAATAACATTAGAAGTCATTAATTTCTAATATTAGGTTCTTCTAATATTAGGTAATATTCTAATATTAGGTAATATTAGGTTCAAATATATGTTGCCCATTTAGGATACATATATATATATATTTTTCAAGAAAATGTATAAATTTAAAAGAATGTGATTTTAAGATAGAAAATATAAAAAGATTTAAATTTTCTTTTTCCGATATTCATATTATTAATATATAATTATATTTATTGAATATATATGTGATTAATGAATTTCATATATAATATGCGAACTATAATTCAGCATAATCAAATTAAATATTAAATAAATACAATTTTTTACAAGTATAAAATGTTTGTATTTTATAATGAAGGATAGGTACAGATTTTACTTTTTTATAATGAAGGATAGGTATAGATTTTACTAGACAGTATATTTAAAATTTTTTAATTTATTTTTCGATACATTTTGTATTCTATTTTTTTAGATTATAAGAAAATATGCACTAAAGCTCATTAGTTCAGAGTAATTGTAATAATTATATATATTTTACTTATATGTATTATATGTATAACAATTTTTTTTCTTCAATATCTTACACATGTCTAATCTTAACTATGTCATTTTAAATGCAAGAAATTAAATAACGAAGTTAAAAAATATATATATATTATATATATATATATATGTAGATATTTCTTTTTACATATATATATCCAATATCGCTTCGGATTCAGTTCTGTTCATTTCATTCCAGTACGAAATACGAGACATTAGGTTTGTTCTTTTTAGTAGAATTTTTTGCACATCATTTTTCTTTTCCTTTCATTCTTTCACACTTTTAAATATATATATATTTGTCTCATTCTATTCCGTTCTAATTCACCTAAAAAGAACAGCCCTATTAATAAAGAGATTGTTGAATATAACTCTGTGTAAAATTGGTAACGGTTTATAAAAAAAAAATAATACGGAAGTTACAATGCGCATTTATCGTTATTAATAAATGTAAGGTGTAACAGCAAAAATAATCTCTATAAAATTGCATAAATATATATACGATGACGAGTGAAATCTCGTACAGGATATTTAAGATCTAATCAGGAAAGTTGGGTTAGGTTAGATGAACAATATGGTGGATTAGAGAGAAAGAGAGGACTTTTTCATCGGGACTCGCGTGCATTCTTCGCATTAAGGGTATTGTTTTAATCGTGCATTCACACTTTATATTGAAGCAAGACTGCATCTTTATCTTTTTAGCGATCGTTCGATAATTGATACGTGCATTTATGCGAAAGTTTTGCAATAATATTGCAATCTCTTTTCCCAACATTTTTTTCACGATTACACATCGGAGACAAAACAGAAAACCCCGAATCTTAAGCCTTCGACTAAATTCCGATTAACTTAATCGGCCTAATTAAGTCAAGAATTATCTGCAGCAAAATTTCCAACTGCATACATTATTTGTCATTTATTTCTAATTTAATTTCTCTCCCTATATATATATGTCAAGTAATAAAAAATAATTTTATCTCTGTTAAAAGAATGCAGGTAATTTGATAAATTAAAATCAAGTTAATCAAAATTTAATTTAAGAAAGTTATTGTTTCATTTCTTAGATTGAATCAATTAGGTATATTTATATTGAACATTTTATGCAAATTGAATTATTACATTGTCAGTTACTTATCAATGTTATAGAATTTGGCAAAAACAGGTATTTCTAATTGTTAAAAATTGCAGTGTTATATTGAATCTTAATGAACATGTTGAATAACTTTGTTATGTTACAGACATACTCAAGAATAAGGTATAGAGATTATAGAATATGATATTACATGCGATAAACTCTAGCCATATAATTAAAAAAATAGCACAAACCAACTAATTGCGTCTAACTACTTGCTCGAGCATGTTATATCACCTTTCCTATAAGAATTGAATTGAAGCAAATGTGGTAACAATGTAAATACAAGCGGAGTAATTAAGTTTTGTGCAAATTTTAAAAGTTGATATAATTAAAATAATATTCTACATTGATTACTTCAGATTATTGAAGTAATCGTATAAGTTGGTGAGCAACATGACCGATACAAATGATAAAGAAGATGACAGTCAAGTGGAGATAAAGCAAGAAGACGTGAAGCCTACTGCCAAGATACATATAAAGCAACCTCATGAGCTACTCAAGGATTCCTCGTTGAAAAATACCAATGACGATGTGCAACGTGCAATCCAGGGTCTTAAGGAGATACCAGATGAAGAACTACAAGAATTCCTTGATGACGAAGACTTTATGCAAGGATTGGACGTCGTAGATGCATGGGAAGGAGATGAAGAGAGAAATCGCGAAAATGAGCAAGACAAAACAAATGCGATGGAACGAAAAGAGAGACGATCCTCTAGGTAGTGTCTTTAGTGTATATAAATGATTCTTATGTTGTATGTGTGTGTGTGTGTACACATACATACACATACACATACATATACATATACAGTGTTTTTGTACAAAATGTTTTTATGTACAAGTCCAGTTATTACAAAAGAATTATAATTAATTGTGATCTTTTTTTTTTATTTGAATTAATCACATTAATTTATATTATAGAAGATAAATTACATTCTAATTACATTAATTTATATTATAGAAGATGTATTACACTCTAATTTTAGCAATTTAATTATAAGTTACAAAACTATATTATCAGACAATTTGTATATTTTGCTGTATTTATTACATGTAATAAGAAAACTTATAATAGTTATAATAGTTATATATATATAATTATTTCTTTGGCAAACAAATGATGGTAAGAGTAATTATAGGGAACGCCACCGTCCTGAGCCTAAAGGATCTTACAGCCGTGTAAAGCCGAAGAGAGAAGAGAAGAAACGCGAGGAAATTCGTCGAGACCCTTTGAAAAGCACGAAGGATATCGAACGGGACAAGATGCGAACGAAGAGAGATACTGAAAGTAAACTTCTTGCCGAAAAGGAGAAGGCGATTAAGCATTTGCTTGATTCGGACAATGTAGTCCCACCTGGTACGGAAACTGAAGCCATTCAGAGCATCACGGAGGAACAAAATAGGGAACGAGCGCAGCGCGAAGCGCAACGAAGCAGAGAACATCGCAGGAGCAAATCGTTCGATCGTTATTCCAGATCGAGTCCGGTACGACGCAGAACTCCCGATAGACTTCGATCGAGTCCTCATCGACGAAGGAGTCCTTTTGTAGCTAGTCCGGAACGTCGTAGGAGTCCTTTCAGAACAAGCGCGGAGAGACATAGAAGTCCTCATCGATACAGTCCAGGCAGACGAAAAAATTCACCACGATATTTCTCCGACCGAAGAAGTCCCATGTTAAGTCCAGATCGTCGAAGGAGTCCTAGACGACTTAGCGGGGAACGACGATCCAGCGCAGATAGAAGGTGGAGCGCTGAACGATCGCGAAGAAGACGCGCCGAATGGATACATGAACGGTAAGAAAAATAATTCGTAATTTTTATTATATAATTCTCAGACTTTCGATTTCTTATTTATTTAAGAAAGAGAAATTTAGAAAAATCCATCAATCACAATCCATATTAATTTAAAAATAATCATTCTTTTTTACGCTACGTGTGTATGTTCCGCGTATGTATGCGTGCGTGTACCTGTGTGTACTATAAGAGCCATTTTATACAAATATGTTTATTACTATTTATGTGATAGAGAGAGAGCTGTACAAGCATTTTGCATTAAACGTTTTATATTCTTATTGTAATGTATGTAGAAATATGTATACAGACATATATATCTACTAATGTAATAGAGACTGTATCTTAGTAATTTTATCTTAACACATCGCAATTGTAACTACTTTAAATTGTTAAGCCGAAGAAGTCGATCTCACGATCGGAGGAGCCGCAGTATGGAACGTAGAAGACGCTCGAGCCGCTCGCCCACAAGCAGACGATACAGCCCTCGTCGCCGAAGTCGCACGCGCAGCAGATCTGTGGAGAAGCGCACGAGGAAGCGGTCGCCCTTCATTAACGAACTGGCAAGACAATTGAGAAACGAAGCAATGATGCCGACCGGTGTGAACAGCAGTGGATATGTACCACCCGCAACAATGGAAGGAATTGCACCGCTGCTCAATCCACCTGTGTATCAACAAGAAACGGAACCTCGACCACCGCCACCACCACCACCACCATCTGTAGCGCCTTCGACGTACATGCACCAACCAGGTCCACTTGCACCGCCTTTGCCGTCATCATCTATGTTACCTATCCCGAGTGGACCGCCGTTTGTGAATTTCGAATCCATGCCGGGTGTACCGTCAATGAATTTCGAACCCATGCCACCGCCACTGCCCATGCCATCGCACATCCTACCTCCAGCCGAATATTCCTCCGGTCCCGTCATGTATAATCAGTCGAATGTCGCCCCTCCTATTCAACCACCACCCCCGCCATCGACCATCTGTCCAGCCTTGCTCCCTACGCCGGTACCGTCGCCACAACCTGTGCCCGCACCGGTGATGGATCATACACAAATATCATATAATCCGTCGCACACTATGACCTCTGTTCAACGATCGCCGATTCGTCAATTTGAATCTTCGAGCAAATCTTCGAATCATTCGACTGCACCGTCCACGTCGTCACAGAATTACGCGGAACGTGGATCAGCAACATCGTACACTGAATTTCATGCTCCGCACGAGGAACGAATGAAAACACCCGAACCACCGGTCATCTCCAAACCAAAAGTAATTTTAATACATAATTACGATGAATACTTTTTATCTTGTTTTAAATTCGAGGAAGCGTTTATCGCTACATCGAAATTAGTGGATATTAATTTATTTTGATTCATCGTATGGAGCGTTATTTCAATTACAAATGAATAACATGCAGAAAATAGATTAACCTTTTTTTTATGACTTGATCTTACAGCAAAAAACCAGCTTATCCAGTCTACTGGAAGCGTCTGTTTCAGCCAAAGGTGCGAGTATGTTTTTACTTGTTTCGTGTTTCATTGACAAATTTATAGAAGAACTTTATATACAGTTCATTTTTTAATCAATCATAAAAAGTATTTGATGTAATTTGTCAAATAATATTAATTTTTTATATTTTTTATCACATCCTCTAGATCCATCTAATATACCGGTGCTATATCCAGGTAAGAATCATGACATTTTTAATAAAGTGTTTATAATCGCGCGCTTCATGTATGTGAAAGTTGCGCGATGTATCTATTTAATATATAATCAAAGTGTACTCTTTTGTATAAAGACATTTGTGTGCCCTATTGTATGATTAATGTGCGTGAAGATTACAAGAAGCATGACATGCGTATCTTTATAAGCATTACGGCATGCACATCCTTCGGCTGTTGATTCTACGTGAATCTGTTTTCTTTTCACTAATAGGATTCAAGCCTGAAATAATGCGGCATTGCGAACAAGCGCTGTGCCAGCTTCCACTTGAGGATCCACGTTTAAAGATGAAGGGCAGATTTTTCTATGATCGCAATGAAGAAGGTGATACGAAAAATGACGCCGAGGATCATACATCGAATTCGATACTTCTTCAGAAAGGCAAAACCAAGATATTTTGGGAAGAGAGCAACAAAGAGGAACAGCCGATACCGATTCCAAAATCGACAACTCAGATGCATCAGAAGATCTGTCAAACAGATGAATTAGAAACGGAAACGAAGGGCGTGCAAGTATATGTCACCATGGTTGACGTTGCAACACAGGTATATTCGCCTACACAGCTATTAATCGATCTCCAGTCGCCAATAAAGGAAGACAAGCGACCGATAATGGAACGTCTTGATCGGAGCGGGATACGGGAACCGTATGAGCATGCTTCCAGTTTTCGTAACGTCGACGATCTCAGATGGAGTTTAAATAATTCTTCGCAGAGACGTTTTTGGAACAGACAAACATCTCCTTCTAGAAGATCCACCGACGAGCATGAACATCATGTAGAATCTGTAGATCATGGATCTAGAAACTTAAGATTAGAATCTCCTGTTAGAAATAGAGATGAATTCTCCACTCATATTGCAGCACGTGATCATTATAATCATAGCAGATATTCGCCAGATTATCATAGACGTTCTATGGAACGCGACGATTACCATGACAGGAGGAGTGATCATAGCCGCGGAGAAAGTCCAATGGAATTGGAAGAATCCGACGATGAATTAGTGGATGACCATACATTCCAAAGAGAACACGATTGGCATGGAAGGGAAAAGATTTTGAGAGGCAAAGGTCACATTTTGAGAGGAAAGGGAGGAAGATCGTATCGAAATCGCGGAAACTTTCGGGGCAAGTTTTAAAACTATTAATTACACATACATCGAATAGAATATCATGTCAGTAATGATAACTTTAATGACTTTCATGTTAACGTATATATGTATATATTGAAAGTTACAAGGAATATTATATTAAACATGATCATAAAAACCACACATAAATTGTTATTCTGTGATGTTATGTACATGAAATTTAATTGATATCAAAAAAGTGAAGGGAGATGAATTTTTAAACATGAATTCATAATGAGTTCCGAATGAAGAGGATTATATAAATATATGCTCAAATATTTCTACATAAATGTGTTTAACTAAAGGATTGTGCAAATCGCGCCAATAATGGAAAAAAATAATGGAACAGTGTTTGGAAAAAAAAACCACATCATTATCTCCTTTTTCACATTGCAAGACTTGTCACAATCAGAATAATATTATATGTAATATTGTAATATGTATTATAATATTTGTAACATTGCATACTACGCAATGATTAATACTGTTTGATTATTATCACTTTTATTGTAGATTTATATATGCATAACTGGCGATAAAAATATGACAATTTAATAAAAGAAAAAGTACATACAATTAGTAGAACAATATATGAACCTTATAAATACACACACACAGAAAACGTATGATACATAATAACGCTAATGTAATGAAGATTTACAGCAGAAACAATAAAGATTATGGATGGAATGTATTATGGAATTTGCAAAAAAGTATACATGAATTTTTTTGTGAAAATAATTTTTTTTTAGAATTCCTTTTATCATAGGTCATTATTATTTCTTGTTAAAGATTGGATATTTCATTGACCATCTGTTCTCATGGTTATAGAAATATCATTGTAGAATAGTTATGCGGAAAATGTTATGCAAAGAGATATATATATATATATATATATATATATATATATATATATGAAGAAATATATCAGAAAAGAGAAAAATATATATGTTTACGGATTTATATAAACAAATTTATTTTTAAATAGCGTATCTCATTTTATTAAGACTTTTATTATTGTAAACTAATTCAGAACTATATACATGCCATATCTGATTTATTCTTCGTTATACATATGATTTTTATAAAGAAAACAGTTTATCGAGTGCCATCTCACCTCAAGAATAATAATATAATAATTATGTTTACCTGTCATGCATTATAAGTATGCGTGCACTTGTTAATAAAGTTTTCCATCACTTAACAATGTATATATCTTCAATGTATATCACTTAACAATGTATGATTTTCTATTATATAGTTTCGTTGACACTAAGTAATATCGAAATTTGTATTTATTTCAATAAGTATTTAAATTGTGATGACAATGTGTTGAAAAAAGTGAGCAAAATTTATGTATGTATATACATATATATTTTCTCATATTTTAAATATACTTTCTATGATGTACCAAATTGTTCTGTGCACACGTAAAGCTTTTCAAATTTAATAGTTGATTTAAATAAGTAATAATACTTTTACAAGAGTGAGGCTATCTATTTTTTTATCCATTTTTCCTCTAATTATAATTATGTGTGCCTTTAAAAGATTATTTTACTAAGAGCAAAGTCATTTATTTTCATAATTTATAATAAATTTGTTATATAGATATAACAGATATTACAGATTTGTGATTTTTCCTTCTTAATTGTTTTTTTTTTGTACTAGTTTAGTGATATTTTTATATGATATATATATGAAACACATTTTATTTATTTTTATTTATTTACTTTAATTTATTTACTTTAAGTGTACATATTTATATACATAAATCATATACTATACCGATTACTTTAGAATAAATATATAAACGTGCACATAGAAGTACATAATAGATCAATACAATTAATTGATCTGTATATCTGTATATGATACAATAAAAAAAACCATTTTTACAATTTAGTGATTATTTAATTGTGTATATCCGTCAATATTTTGAAAAAAATGGTTTGATACTTTTAAACTTGATATAAATTGTTAATGCGCCTTTTCAAAATTAAATAATATACTTAAATAATATACTTAAATTAAATAATATACTTAAATAATATACTTAAATTGTTTTGTTTTAATTTTCAGATACGCAATTGTCGATTGCTCCGGCGAACAATTTATATTACAATTTAACGCGATTTGCGTTTATGAACCGTCCAGTTCATCGATCAAAGATTGCTGGCAAATAATTCCCTTGTCAGCCTTGTTCGGATGTAAATGCCTTATCATCGCGTGTAATTCCTAATGACTTCAGCAGAAATGGAAGAATAAATCACTGTATCCCAAATCTATTTTCTATTACGAATACGATTAACGACTCATCTTTAATTAACAGCTCTTTTCAAGATAAGTATTTTCTTCCCGAAAAATCGCGATTTTCTTAGTCTTCTAGCAATCAACGCGAAATTATGCATACTTGCCTCGCGATTACATTTTTCGCAAAGTCAGAAAGAGAGATACAGAGAAGCTCGAAAATTAAAATGCAATTGCCGAAATGTCTGTCGATTTTTTTATACACGAACCAAAGCGTGACAATTTTATTTTTTTTAAAGTTGAGCTTTATATCAAATAATTAATTTGCTTTCTCTACTCGTAATTTATAACGTAATATTAATAACGATTAATTTGGTTTTTCTACTCGTAAATTAAAACGCGTCCGGCATCTCAATTCGCTCGATATCGACGTTTAATTCGTTCACCGGATATCGATTCGAAATCACCCTAGGTATTGCGGGGGCGACGCGACGCGTAGGGCCGGCGGTGCGCGCACCGCGCGCGGGGCGCCATCTGGCGGGAGTCGGGCGCATTCGCTGTTGTCAAGCGGCGCGGTATCGCGTTGGCAGACCTGCGGCGGGTCGCGCGACGGCGCGGTACTCGAAGGCTGTGCCGAGATATGCGCGCGCTATCTCTCTCTCTCCGTCACGACGGTGGCGCCCGAGTGCGCCGCCTGCCGGCCGATTCGCCAAGCATTCGGCATGGATCCAGCTCCATGTTCGCCCGTGAAAGCGATGCGGTGTCCCCGCGGTTAGGACGTTGTACGATTCTCGTGTGTGCTGCGAGAACGTCGCGCGTTACGCGTCGCGCTCGTCGCGGGCTCGTCGTGATCGGTGCTCATTCGTGCGCGTCCGCGAAACAGTGGTGCGTCGAACGACCTCGTCTCGTGTGTCTCAGTGTGGCGTGGCGGCACAGCAACAGCAGCAGCAGCAGCAGCAGTGGTAGAGGCATCGGCAGCGGCAGCAGGGGCAGCGGCGGCGACAACAATCTCAACCCGGTGCAGCTCCTACGAGGCGTCCGCGGGGGACCTCGTGGAGGCCGATCACGGCTGCGACGCGAGCTGGCGAGGAGGAGCGCTCGTCGGTGCGTGTCGGCGGCGGTGGCGACGGCGACGGCAGCAGCGGCGGCGGCGGCGCGTGCTGCGAGGACGAGGTGAATGCACGGCGGCCGCGGTGTGTGCCAGTGGTGTGCGCGCTCGTCGCCCGTGGAAACCCGCCAAAACCCGCGGCCGCGAACAACCACCACCGTCACCGTCAACAGTAACGTCGTCGACGAGAAGAAGAGCGACAGCAAGGACGACGACGATCCCGGGAGGAGCGTCTCGGGCGGCCGCAAAAATCCCGTGAGCATCAAAAACAATAACAAATACATCAGCGACGTTGTTATTAACGGCAGCATCCGTCGCGCTGCTACCGTAGCGCGACAGCAACGACGACGACGACAACAACAACATTGTTATCGTGCAGTCTCGTCGACGTTGTCTCGTTTCTCGCGCGACGCCGTCGCCGGTTACGGCTAGTTTCGGCTGCTGCTGCTGGTGGTGGTGGAGAGAGAGGAAGGTCGCGCTCGTGTGACGGCAACAACGACGGTGACAACGACGACGGCGGCGGCGATTACCGCCGAGCTCGCACGTCGTTGGCGGCGACAGCGGCGGCGGCGACTGCGTTCTGTTATTATTTTGCCGCGGTGCTTTTGACCCTACGTACACTGGGCGAGTTCATTGCGACGCTCAAGCGGGGGGTGTCAGCCGGTAGTACACGTCCGCACCGCGCTCTTCTCCTCCGTCGCCTCTCCCCCTCCCCCATCCGTCTGGCGGCAGCGCCGGCGTCGACGGAGGCGGCGGGCGCCTCGTGATCGAGGTCGAGGAAGAACGCCGGAAGATCGGGGCGCGTCCTTAAGGCGCCCGGTCGGTCCCGTGGGGTCCGGGGACCCCCTCAGTCTCCACTTGGAGGAAGAGGAGGAGGAGAATTTCCATTTTCGCGTCGCGTCGAAAAATCGTGAAAATCATCGCCGAGTACGGCCAGGCGATCGGCGAGCCATCGTGGGATTTCGCGCTGCACGCGGTGACGCCGACGACCATAACCTGAAAGACCGGACAACGCGCGCGCTCTCCAACTGTCAGATCCCCGACTCCGCTCGGCTGTCAAACGCGACTGTTCTTCGCGGCAGCTCGACTTGCTTTTCGGCGACGAGCGAGGGAGTCGTTCCGTGCGTTCGCGAGCGAAGCCGCGTCGCGTCGTTTTCGCGCTCGAAAAGTTGGCGCGCGAATCAGCGCGCGTTGACAGCTCGGCGATAAGGTGATTCTCCTCCCGCCAGTGCACATCTCGGAGAGATATACATATATATATATATATATTCAGTTTTCATTCCCCCCTCCCCCCACGTTCTGTGAAGTGAAGTGCGCGACTGTTAAATCTGTGAAACGTACGTGATGTGTGTGCCGCGTATGTAACACACCCACACACGCATACATACACATATCTGTATGATTGAGTGCGCCCGGTAGTGCGGGTTTTCTTCCTCGTCGTCGTGCGCCGAGTGTTTTTCTCCTCCTCGAGATTCTACCCCCGTCTGGTACCTCGTCTCCTGTTCCACGGTGTCGTCGGGATCGTCCGAGGGGAGGATCGAAGAGGGAAAAACGCGTTCCCGCCTGTGCGAGAGAGAGAGGAGCCGCGTCCAAGGTACGCAACATCGATTCTTTCTGCTCTCATCGTCCGAGTTTTTTTTAAGGTTAGATTCGACCGCTCGCGTCGCGCCAGTCGATCGAACGGTCGAAAGGCGAGCGCGTGTCGTCGCGTCGCGCATTGTTTACGTGTGCGTTGTAAGCGTGCGTTCGTCCGCGTTTGTCTCCCGCTCGAGCGTGCCCCCCGGTTTCGAAATGCGCGGAGGCTCGTTGCACGCGAAGAGATGCGTTTTCAGCGAGGTGCGCCCTCGTCCGATCCGCGAATCCTTCCACGACGACGGACCTAACCTCAAAGCTCGTCGTAAGTATTAACGCTGCCTCTCTGTTGCCGCGCCGCTGCCGAACAGCTGTTTAAGCGCCTCGAGGGAGGGGGACTCCGACTTCTATTTTTTTTCTTTTTTTTCGTCGATTGCGCTCTCTCTTTCTCTCTCTGCCGGAGTAATGTGTCTTGATTCGCTCGATATATCGATAATATTTCTTACATTTTTCTATTCTTTAATAGACTGGAGGAAAAAATTGAGTTAAGCGGATTTAATTATTATATATTATATATATATTAAATTATTAATATTAAAATATTATTATTAAAATATTATATATACATATTAAAATTAACGTAGTTTGATTGTGTTATTTAATTGCATAATCTTTTAAATATTTCTTCCAGTCTTTTTAATGCGTGTCATTTATTCGATTCTTCATTACATCTAAAATGTACACGATTGCACGTCATTAAAAAAGAAATGAGAAAGTGAATAGTATGGCATATGAAATATTCACGCATTTGCAGTGTAATTATTCCATCTGTCGCAAGTTTATTGACATGCAATCGCAATAAAATTATAAATAACATACTATCTATATATTTTTATTATCACTTAAATTGATATATATTTTAATTTCTAAAATTATATTTACTTTCTTCGTATCTCTTGATTAAAGAGAGTCTTGATCAATGATTTTAGAGAGCATTCTGTGGCTATTTTTGGTGCAGTGTGACTAGAGAAAATTTTCGTTTTCGAGAGACGAGTTTTTTGCAAAACATAATTTTGCAATTAATTTTATTCTTTTAATTACAATTATTTTTCGGAGAAGGTAAAAATATCTTCAAAAAAAAAAGTTCGAAATTTGATTCGAATGCACAAAATCGATGTGACAAAATTAATCTTATATTAATACGTCTTTAATACAGGAATATGTCCGTCCTTGCGTCACCGCGCGTTTCATATTATCGCGCAATCGTGTTATTAAACTGCAAGTGGTAGGTTTACGACCAGTGTTGCCGTCGTATTTACAGTTGTAAGGAGTTTCGAGGAACAAAACCTGAAAATAAACGAGTGTGCACATTAAGATTCGTTAACGTCGTAACACTTCCTGGACTAAGTCATTCCTAAAGTCATTAGATCTCGCTTTCTGCATATTTATGCATCGGGATTGTCTTGTGGTTAAATCATTTGAACCGACATATTTTACCGATTGATTTTATATCGTTATTTTATCTGTCAATCTTATTCACATATCAGATACTTGTAGATATCAAACTGTCAGATTGAATTCTGAATCATGACATAGATATCAAACGTTTTTGATCGAAAATAGCTTACAATTAATAATCCTAGATAGAAAATGTATTAGTGAAATTTGGAAAATATAAGGAGGAAAAACCAAACGTTAAATATCTGATAAAAAAAAACGATAAGATATAAACGAAAAGTGAATATTTATACGATGAGAAATGTACGGCACACACAATAATTCGATAACATAATATTTGGAGACATTTTAAAAATGTAATTTCCATGCATATATATTTCCTAATGTTTTCCCTGGAATTTTAATACTCATTATGATGCGATAAAATTCTTATACGAACACATATACACGCACAAAAGATTTAGAGATAAGACGATATTTTTTTTATCGCCAGATATCGTAAACATGCTGTCAAAATTTCTTTTCTTACTGCAAAAATTTCTACAAATGGTGACATTACGTGGGAAAAGAACCGCGTAATAAGTCCGCGTCGTTGCATCGCGTGTTTCGCATTATCGCGCAATCGTGTTATTGCGCGTGTCGTCCGAAAAAGTAATAAACCGAAGGCGGGAAAAACCGACGAGGAGAGGGAGCGCGATTCGATATCTCGAAGTTAACGCGTCGACTTCCCCCCGAAAATTGATACAGACCGATTCCAAGAAGAGATACAACACATTTATCTAAATATACCTTATCTCGAGTCAATCGAGACGTGTGTTTGCTCCTTTTTTTTTCTTTCACACCTAAATTAAAGCCTCGAGAAGTAAAAAAAAAGACTAATAATGGATTTGCGGATTACGAGTGTAACTCTTTTTTTCTTTTCGTAATTATTCCCGGTAATACGCAAATGATTTTTTGCATTTCGCAGACCTCGAAGATATGCCAGTTTTACGCGATTCCTCTGTTAGGTAATCTTTTTGCACATATTAAATTTTTTTATGTATTATTTTTCTATATTTATATATTATTTTCTGTATATTAATTCCTTATTAATATATATTATTGATATATTATTCCTTATTATACATTATTACTTTATTTATATATTAAAAATTTTAGATTAATTTTTATTAATCTAAAATTTTTTATTAATAATATTATTAATAATTGTTTTATAAGTACAATGTTATTTTTTTTTGTATATTAATTCCTTATTAATATATATTATTAATATATTATTCCTTATTATATATTATTACTTTTCTTATATATTAATTTCTTATCAATATAAAATTCTTTATTAATATATTATTAAAAATTGTTTTATAATTACGATGAAATGGGGCAGTTACGTAATTCTGCCCTCATTCATAATTTTCTCAATCGTAAACTAATTGTAATTGACTGCAATTTATATATATGCATGATTGCATGAAAATGCGCAAGTGTATTCCATCTTTGTACAATAGCTTCATCGATTGTGTTTTCAAGCATCAATCTGCTCGATTCACGTGTACGTGCGTAGCTTTGCGAAATAAGATCCTAATTTCGACGCGGCGATGTCATTATCAGTTTGATATTAAATTACGTGCCTCGAATCAATAAATTGCCCGCGAACAACGACACATCCGCGATTACGATCTCGCGCCAGAGGACCACTTCGTAAATTACGGCTGCCGCCGATTTTTTTTTCTTTTTATTTTTTAATCGAGGATCTTCTCCTCGGGAGATTCGCCTCGAGGAAGCCACCTACGTCGCGGTTGCACTCATCGTGCAGAGATCCACTTTATTGATTCGGTATGACTTTCGACGCGTCGACGCTAACAATGCTGTTCTCTGAAACATGTTGAGTCACGACGCGTATGTCTGCACTTTAAAACAAGAATACGGCTCTCTCTCTCTCTCTCTCTATGCCGTTCCGTTCGTATCGATTAATGTGATTTTGTTTCTGTACGTCTTCTCCATCCGTTCCTCCGAGTGTAATTTCTCGGATTCGGAATGCACTGCATTGTCTTCTTAATTCCAGTTATAAACTAATTACCGTTGGAACGAATCTACTTTTTCGCGCAGATATCGCGTCGGCGCAAAGATCGTGTGGTTCCATTTTTTTTTCCTTTTTTTGAAAAATAAATTTATATCGCTATTCAAATAAATAAAGCTACCTTCAACGTAAAAATCGTGCTTTTGAAAATAAAATATTGATAAAATGTAACTTTCAACAACTTGATTTGCCTTTGATAAAACGACACGATTTTATTGCTGGAAATGTACATTTATATATATATATATATATTTTTTTTTTTTTTTTTTAATAAAAATATATAAAACATTTAGTTTTATCAATGTCTCTTTTTACATGATTTAATTATTTAACGAAGCGCAGACTGTATCTTAAATCGGCGATTATGTTGTACAAAGTTTAATGAAAAAAATCACTCGATAAGATCGTTGTAACGCAATATGAAGATATAGATACGGGGATACTTTGCAGAAGATGTACAGCCCGAATTAAAAAAAAATCGCGCTGACTTAGAGGTCAATCAAGCAATTTTTTTCCGACGCATTTCAACGTCTGCTTAATCAGCGTTGACGATCTTTCTTATCGCTGCAATGTGTACCCTAATTGATTCATCGCTCTCGAGAAGCACACGTACAATCGTAAGATTCCACGAATTCGATTATATTTTTCGGCGATTTCGACTCGTGCAGTCGCGAAAGCCGGAGAAGTCGAAGGAGACACGTGCGAAATATCGATGGTAGGTCAGTTACAGATGACGTTTATCAGATCGGAGTTACACTTGCGTTAAATTCCGACCCGTGACGAGACTTTTTCGAATTTTTCCATTTATCAGGCGCAAACACGCTTTCGTTTACACAGTAAAAGAAGTCGCGTCGATAAAACGAGCCGGATGCCCCGGCACGATTACCAATGTCGTGGTTATTGTCGATCGAGTGCTATTGAGCCTCGTGAGAAGAAAGTTTTGAAATTCCAATGATTGTGTGAAAATATAAAGCTTGAAAAATTACGCTTTATGATATATTTAATACATTTTAAAATTGTGTTTAACTTTTTAGATGCATTATAAGAATTTATAAGCGCGCGTATAATAATTTTATATTTATAAAGCTGTTGAAATATTTTCAATTATAGACACTTCTTGTCAGTGAAATTAATTATTTTTGCGTTAAATTTAAGGTGAAAGTTTAAATTTACTTTATATAATTTAAATGGGACAAAAATGAGAGGTAGAGGTCTTATTATTTATTTGCACACATCTCTGAAAATTAAATTGCATGTATAAATTCTTTATTTTTAATTTTTAACAATTAAAAAATTATGCACATGCTTTGATTTTTAAGAGAAAATTCTATTTAACATCGAATGAGGAAATAGTTGAAATATTATACAGTGAAAAATCTTACAAGGAAGGGAGTTCAAAGTTTGAAATAAAATCTTGAGAGAGATTATATCTGTTCAAAATATACATAATATTTTATAATAATGTAAAAGATGACACTATTTCG